GCCTAGTTCTCAAAACAATCTGACCTGGTGGCCCAAGACTGGCCCATTCATTTCTAAGCCAACTCTAGGGCAGTCTATTGAAAAACTTACCCAAGTTTGGCCCAGATAGTCTTAGAGATGAAGGAAGGGCACTGGTTATCTGGAGGAAGTAATATCCAATACCAAGCAATATTACTAAGCACTCCTGAAATTCCTCTCAAAGTATGTCACACGCTAAATCCTCGTCTAGGGCAAGAACTTCAGTGGACTACCATAGAGTTAGTATGTTGATGTTGTTGTTATGTGACTCATGGTGACCATATGTACAACAGCCCTAAACCCTGCTCTATCTTGTGCCAATCCTATTGTCTCTGACACACCTACTCCCATTACCTCAGTCACTGAATCAATCCATCTCATTGAGGGTTTTCCTTTCCTGTGCTGTCCTTCCACCCTGCCAAGCATGATGTCCCACCATCCTCCCAAGCATGATATCCCTCTCCAAGGACTGACCCTTCTTGCAACATGTCCAAAGTATGTCAGACAAAGCTTCAGAATCCCTGCCTCTAAGGAAGCCTGGTCTAACCCTCTCCAGGAGCTTCTTTTACTGGTAAAATAAATGTACTTAAGGACTATGCCACCAGAAGACACTATACAACCTGGCTACGTCTATCTCTGTAGCTTGATCTCTTAAAATGTCTTATTCCTAATAAATATATAGTAAAAACCCTCAATTAGATGAGTAACAGAACTGCCAAATACAACAGACCTGAAATATCAACAATCAAGATGATGGCACAAGATTAGGCAATGTTTTCTTATTATGTGGAGCTCTACTTGGCCTTGTAGTAATGAATTGTGCTGCCAATCCAAAAGTAAGCTGTTAAAACTCAACATTTGCTTTGAGGGGGGAAATGGAACAATCTCTTCCCTTGCAATTTACAAGAGAAAGCTTGCTGAAGGGTCAGCTATGAGTCTGTTCTGACTTGATAGTACATAACAACAACTCAAGCTAGACCTAACCTTAAGTTATCTAAAACAAATGTCTTTAATGTGTCCTATCAACCTCCTCAGGCTTGATGACATCCTAGACTTACTTCAGACCTCAGTTTTGCTATTTCTTCCTGGAGGAAGTCTTCTCTCATTTCCTTATTTGATCATTTCCTGAACCCTGTCCCTCAGTTTCACATATGATTGCATAATTTACTTCTTCCTCTTTTATTGTTTTATAGACTAGTTATCCTTCCCCATATAATATTTGCTTGTGTTTCTATCCCATTAGAACAAAGTCTATGAAGGTAAGTATTATATTTTGGATATTGTTCACGCTTCCAGAAGTCCTAGTAAAGAGCCTAGAAAACAGTAAGCATTCAGTCAAGATCTTTTGCAAGGCCAACTGACCCACACTGAATTCCACGGGACTGTCCTTTCAAAATCACAAAAGGCCAAGTCAATATAAAAATCGGGTACAGGCCTTCCCACCAAAGGTCCTTTGAGGTGGAGAAGTCCATCCCTTTGGGAATGTAACTTTCTAACAAATCTATCATTACTGTTCACCCTCAAAAAGAAAAAAAAAAAAATCAGGTACAGTAATTCCTAATAATACTAAAGGTGAATATTTACACTTTTCATTAAGTACCAATGACATGGATCATCAGGACTATATTAAATTTTTTTAACCTAGAATTTTAAGAAGAACTGTTTACAAATACAAAAGTCAGTATTTGACAGTAGCATGAAAACAAATCCTTTAAACTTTGACTTAAATGGATAGAAACTAGAAAAAATTGCTCAAAAAATATACCTCATTAATTTCTGAAAAATTTTAGAAATGAAAAAAACCCAAATGACCTTAAGCTGGCTCAAACCCCTAAGGAGGAGTCTTATTTTCATTAAGCCAAGGGAGAAAAACTATAAAAATGTCAAATATCAAAACCCATTAAAATTGCCAGAGAAATTTCCAACACTAAGAAAAATTTTCACATTTAGCCACAAAAATTTTTCTTCCTAAAATAACACATCTACTTCTACTTGCATATCAGCCTCAAATTTTTCAACAATGTTCCAGTCTCCTCAACAACAACAAAACTAATTATTTAAACTATTTTATAATGGACAAAACAGCACAAAGCAAACACACACGTTGCTAAAAATATTTTTTATTTATCTAGTTCTCCTTTTCCATTGTACCATAATACTTTCAGAATAAGGGTACAATCAATACCACCTTTCCTACAAGAGCTTAGAGCTGACCTACTTCCTTCCCCCATTCCCTACCTTGCCCAGTTCCAAATTCTGTCATATTACCTTTTGTAAAGGGATTTTGGAGTTGCAACATTTGAAACTTTTAGAACTGAAAGGGACCCTTGAGACTTAATCCATTCATTTGTTCTCCTGCACATGTGAAGTGAACCCAAATGACGTGCCTAAGATTCACAAAGCTCAATAGTGGTAGAACTGGCATTTAAACTTTAGTTTCTTATTCAGTCTAGTAAGTTTCATTGTCACACAACAAGCAACAAAGATTTTATGTTCTGCACAACCAGTTTTCAAACTTCAAGTGTAAGCAATTTCTTTTTTCATTTCCCCCAAAATAAGAAATGTTCAACCACAAGGTCCCAGGGTCATATACACTATTATCTCAAAGGCTGGAGGTTTTTAAAATTGACCCAGATTGCCTTGAAAGAAAAGTCTGGGTACAATTCTACTTTGACATAGATGGGGTCTTTAAGAGTTGGAATTAACTCCACAGCAACAGGTTTTTACAATAATTTTTATGTAACCATAAATACCAGCATCATCTCATACTAAACGACCCTCAGTGGAAAAGTCAGCTAATTTTAATATCAAAGTCTCTACTTAATATCTTGCAAGAAATTTGCTCTTCCTATGAGCGTGAATATTTGCAGCAGAAATTTTCACTACAACCTGATTTTCCCATGCTGCCCAACTTCTTCTAACATCCCTTAAAAAAAAAAATGAATGAATGAAAAAATTAAAAAAATAATTCAATTGGCAATTCAGGTTCAGCGGTTAAAAACAAAAGCATCAGCCCAGGCAAAACAATTTACCAAAGTGGTATACAATCAACTAGCTTATTACACATCTTGTAGTATTTATGCCACTGCTGTCCTCAGTAATTTGGTACCTTATCTGATTACATCAATGTGCTAAAAAACAAAAAAAATTAATGCCAGACCCAAAGGTTAATACATACTATTAACTAAATAATACTACTGTATTTCACACATTCAAATTATATTGATGAATTTTCAAAATGTCTAGTTTGAGTTATTTCAGCAAGCATAATATGGTAGAAAAAACAGTGCTGGGAGAAAGGACTACTTCAGTAGGACTCCTGGTTTCAGGATTCTACCAGAATCAGTCCAGATTGAAACAGTTACTACAGTGAGATTGACAGAGATGCCTGCAGGATAGACCAGGGGTTCAGACCTGTTATTAATAGAGTCACTGGGAATAGTTAAGACTTGATGGTTCCTAACACTAAATGGCCTAGTGATAAGGAGTTTTGCTGAAAACCGAAAGGCACTGGGTTTGAATCCATCACCTACTCCACAGAAGAAAGTTATATAGTCTCCTCTACTGTGATTTACTGCCTCTGAACACCCTGCTGGAGGTTTAGCTATTAGTCAGTTCTGACTAGATGGTACCAAACAACAATAACAACACAAGAGTAGTTAGTTGTGTGACCTTACTTGTCACCTATTTGGCCTCCATCTTCCCAAATGAAAAGTCAGTTTATTTTACCAACCTAAACTCAAACTATCATCTTACCAGTGGAAACCAAAACGTCTCTAGCTGCCTTTCCCTATCAATGGCCTTCAATAGTTACTCATCTATTCTATCCCTTAAGTAAATATATGGTTTATGTGTCACTGAGTCAGAACCAACTCTTATCTGGCCTCTGTAGGGTTCAGATGCCATAAATCGCATAGAAGATTACTCATCTCTCTCCCCTGGAGCAGCTGGTGGATTTGAACCCTGTCTTTGGGTTGGTCATGTAATTCTTTATCCACTAGAACGTCCATGTAAATACATGGTTTATGTGTCACTGAGTCAGAACCAACTCTTATCTGGCCTCTGTAGGGTTCAGATGCCATAAATCGCATAGAAGATTACTCATCTCTCTCCCCTGGAGCAGCTGGTGGATTTGAACCCTGTCTTTGGGTTGGTCATGTAATTCTTTATCCACTAGAACGTCCATGTAAATACAGCCTAGGCAAACAGTATGGGGAAAATTAGTTTCCAAAGTGTACTCCTACATGAAAGAGAATAAATTAAGATAGGCTCTGTATTGTGCTCTGAAAGTTGTAAGCTCCTACAGGCCATGATCAAGTCATGAAAAGCAACTGAATGTCTAATTTGTACACAATTGTATTACAGCGGTTGTATTTTCTACCAGGAATCCGAGTTTCAGTACCACTGAACCACGCCTACCAGGGAAATCAGTAAGGCACATGAAAAACCTCCCCAAGGAGCAGGGAGGGATGTCCCGGATAGGCCAAGACAAGCTTTCAAGAATAAAAACGCCGAAAATAAAACAAAAACCCCAACTTTGTTTTTCCCTTCCCTCCAGCTATGCAGCTGCAACCAGAAGAGAAGCTCAAGATTAGCATCATCTGCATTTCATTCCTTTTCTTTTGCAATAGCTCCTCGCCTATAATAAACAGACCTTGTACTCGGGAGAATTTACTTCCCCGTCCAGTAAAAATGAAGTTCCTTATTTTCACTAAGAATGTTGTATCCAATCAACATCCACCCTCCCTGGGGGAAAGCAGGAGCTCCTCTGCCCAACACCCCCGCGGCCAATACCCTCGAAATCGTCCCATTTTCTGAGCCCCTGCACGAGATCGAGGCTCCACGGGAGGGAGGAAAAGGCCAGTTGGGTGTGGGGGTTCACTCTGTCCGGGAGGGACGTCCAGTCCTGATAGTGCCAGACTACGTCGGTCAGCCAGGGGAGGAGGAAGGGTCACGGCGAGCCCCGGGCCATCCCCACTTACCCACTTTGTCCTTCCCGTACATGTGCCCGGCCACCTGATGCGACAGGGGCACGCAGCCGTTGAGGAAGCGGAGCCTACCGCCCGCCGGCTGCAGGGTGCCCTCGGGGGCGGCCTCGCTCGCCGGCGGGGTCCGCATCTCGGGGGGACAGGGCGCCGCGAGTCGGAGAGGGGAGGGTGGCTCTGTTGCCATAACGGAGAGCAGATGCGGTGGCGGCGGCGAAAGCAGGAGAAAAGAGGAGGAGGAAGGGTGCGCCGGGGAGCCCGGGGGTCGCTCGCTCAGGCTCGGCCGCGCGGAGGCCTGGGGGTTCCCGCCGCTGGTGTCCGCTGAGGCCCGGGGAAGCGGCCCATGACGCCGCCGAGGCCCGGGCGATCCCCTGCCCAACTCTCGGTGGAGGGTAGCTCCCGGTTCCCGCCTCTCTGCTGCTGTGGCCGCCGGCCCCGGCGCTGTCCTGGAGACGAAAGCGAGCTTAGAGCAGCGGCGGCGGCGCCCCGTGCTCCCTGGGGCCCTGACGGCGACAGCGGCCCCACCTCCCGGCCCCCGCCCCCTCCCGCCGTCCTCCAGTCCCCTCGGCTGCCGCGCGCGCGTCAGCACCGCCTGCTCCGCCGCCGCTGCCGGCAGCTTCCGACTGCGCGACCCGCGGCAGCAGCCGCTACTGAGCATGCCCAGAGGGCGCCCGACGGGACCCCCGCGGCGGCGCAGCCGTGCGGCTGGGCGGGGGTCCGCTGAGGGAGGCCTTGGGAGGTCGCGTAAACCCTAGGCCTTTCCCAAATCCTAGCCTGCACCTCCAAGGGCGGTGGGCACTGGAATGCCACTGAGCGTTCATTCATTCGCCGTGCATCTTAGTGCTTTCGACTCAAAGACTCCAGGAGCTTCTAAGTTATTAGGGAAGGAGCGGCAGGACCAAATGACCTTCATGACCTCGTTATTAGGGAAGGAGCAGTTTGGGAGGCCACTCCTTAATGTCAGCAGGCATCTTCCAACCTCCACCCCCACATAAAAAGCCAAAGCATTTTGATTATTCACGATCTGAGGATGGCGCACGATAGGCCAAGGTGAAGGTCTGTTGTTCCTAGGGTCGTTATCAGTCTTAGTCGACTTGATGGCACCTAACAACATAAGTTAAGAGCAGGCAGCTTGTTGGCAAACACACCTTTAGAACATCCTTCAAGTTAACCCTGGTCTTTCTTTCCATATAGTCACCCTATTTGGAAACGACACTAATTGGAGAATGTAAGGAGAAAGAATGTGAATTTTTAAAATGAACATTTTAAAGAAATGAGCAGTTATTTCTTCTCTTTCAATCAGACCCTTAGGTAGTGCATGTTCCAAGGTCCTCATGACTAATCAGGTCATTAGCCAAGGAAAGGCAGCATGCTGAGCAGCTAAGAACAGTTTTCTACAAGGTATTCTGCTGGGATTGCTGTGTGTCTGACACTGGCACCTTAAAGGAAAACTTGATTTATAGTCTTGTAGGTATTGGCCTGAGCAAGAAGAAAATGCTGGGTAAAATCTTAGATATCTGATCCAGGCAAATGTCCTACTAGAACCTGTCCTCTCTGTCCCTATAAACGTACACACCTGGAAAAGGGAGGAATAGCTGGCCTGAAATCTCAATTCTTCCCCGGCCACGCCCCTTAGGTTTGCGCAAGCTCAGTTGCTCCCTTCATAGGGCTCTTCCCCCGCCCCGCCCTCCACCATCGTTGTGAAAACCCAGACTCTTCCTTAAGGGCTAGGGCAGAGGCTGTGCGCATGCTCAGCATCAATCAGAGGGCGAAACCAAACACGTGCTTACTGCCGGCCGTGGCGCCTGCGCGGTCGCTGCCCTGTGTCTGTGCCCTTAGGACGTTCCTCACGCCTTTATTGCCGCTGTCTGTGTGAACTCCCTTTGTGCTCAGTATCCTGTGCACCCACCTTTTGAGGGACGGCGCCATGGGTCTGGCTTCAAATTCCGGCATACGAGGTGAAGTGGGGCCCGGGAGCGGGTGAGGCTGGCGGCCTGCGCACCTGCGGCGTCCTCAGCTGTTACCAGTGCCCTGCGCGCTCGCCAGTGTTGTAACCTTGAGATGCACAAGGGCATGAGCTCGGCCCCATCGTGGGCTCTGGGGTGGACTGGGGAAGGGGGAGAGGTGAGGGTGTGGATCGGCGGTGTCACTGGACAGAAGTGGCGAGAAGGCAGTGCAGGAATATTACGCAGAACTGGAATAACGCTGCAGAGAGCTTTCCATGTTCTTCCCAGAGCCGCCGGTGTTCTTTACGACACAGGGCCTGGAAAAAGAAAGTGAGGGAGGAACTGTACTCCCTTCTCATGTTTAAAGCAGCGTGGAATCAGGACGTTCATTTCCTGCTGCAATCCTGAAGTGATGCATGAGTAATCTGATTTTAGTTTTGTACCATTTTTTTAAGAGAAAAACGCAATCTGCTGTTCCCAGTTTATTATGCTCCCTGCGCCGCCCCACGGCATCTGGCGACTTTCGCAGTAAATACAGAAGAGAGGATTGAAAACCGATTCTTTTTGAGAGCCTTCAGCTTTCTACGCCTTGCTTCCTTTCTGCTAGTACATCGCCTTTAAAAACACCACTTCGTAGAAGGCCAATAAAAATGAAGATAAATTTTATACAAGTCGTCTAGGGTGGAGTTCCACCCTATAGTGATTCCTACTGGTGGTGTAATTGTTAATATAAAACTGGCCAAATTACATGATATGTGTGAGCTCTTTGCCCAGATATGAAACTGTACACCCCAAGGCTTGTTTACCTGTAATAGTAATTGAGCAAAGGTAAAAAGATTGCCCATAATTTAGTAGAATAGTCTGTTGATTCATTCAGTAAGTATTGAGCATCTAGAGTGTCAGGTGTTGTAAAAGTCCTGCCAATGGGAATCCTAGCTTTACAATAGACTGGTAGATTGTATAAATAGGAAAATTACCTTCTATGGACAGAATTTACCCTGCAGAAGAGTGAGGGTAATAATGCATGACATCATTAACTTCTACTCAGGGCTTTACAAACATTTCTTTAAAATGATACTATCAACTCTGGTGGCCTAGTGGCAAGAAGTCGCATTGCAATCTCAGAGGCACATGATTCAAATCCACCAGATTCTTTGCTGGAGAAGGAGGGGCAATCTCCTCTACCAGTCAGATCCGATTTGACGGTACACACACACACACAAAATAATAAAATTTTAAAATTACACATATCATGTGCTTCCTTTGTTGTTAGGTGCCTTTGAGCCCTCATAGCGACCCCATGATAAACACACCAGAAACTTAGCTTAATGCTCACGATTTCTAATATGTTGGAGCTCATTTTGACAGTCATTGTGTCAATCCGTCCTTTGGTTTTCCTCTCTTTCCCTGGCCTTTCTCAACATGATGTCTTTCTCCAAAGACTGTCACCTCCTGATAGCATGCCCAAAGTGTGTGTTCACCATCCTTGCCTCTAAGGAGCATTCTGGTTGCATTTCTTCCCTTGGTGTGTTGTTTGTTTTTTTGGTTAATTTTTTTCCCATTCAAAATAGGGAGTTATTGTTGCTGACATACTCATTTCCTCAAGAGTAAGACTTACTATGTAAAGATGTTAATGTGGTATACATCACTGTTATTTTTAATTTTTTATAAGGAAGCTGATTGATTACTCAAGTGTGTGATGGGCCAAAAGACATTTTTGTTGTTGTTTAAAATGGGACATTTTGTATAAATTGATATTAAAACTCCTCGTGGAGTACAGTATACGGTAAAAAGTGAAATAGGTTAGCCCGTAGGACTTACTACTACCTGCCCGAGAATGAAAACTTTTTTGTTTTCATTTATTTTTAGACCAGGGTACATTCGATAGTTATTTTCCCAACAGTTAACAGTTTTCTTAGGAATAGGAAATTACTTGGTGAAATGAGCCAATAACTTAAATATGAAGTCGTCAACTTTACTGTAAGGAAAAAAACTAAGCACATGAAGTTTTTTTAAGACTTACACAGTAAGACCCACACATAGGGTTTTCAGAGGCCTGCTATTTCAGAAGTGGGTGGCCAATCCTTCTTCCTAGTCTGTCTCAATGTGAATGTTCAGATTTAGAGAAGTATCAGACAGACCAGCAAGTTAAAGGTCTATCCCTTATTGCAGAGTTAACTTTAGTGTCAGTGTTGTCCCTGCCTTTCTCGCACGCGTCGCAGGCGACTCGACGGCACATAACAACAACAACAGTAAGACCCAACCTCTCTCCCAGTAACTTCTTCCTCAAATACAGTGAGGGGGCAAAGAATGCCTTGTGGATTTATCTTGTAACTTTACTTGAAATCCTATAAAATTTGGTTCAACTCTTAATTCTTAAACCAGTGCCCACATGTTCGTATCTACCTCTTTTCTCAATTAATTGAATTAGTAATTATAAAAGCCTTAGAATGATTCCCATCAATGTTACATATGTATTTGCTCAGTAAAAAATAAAATACTGTGTGTGTGTGTGTGTAGAGTTCTTACATTCAGAAAGAGTAGTGGATAGAGTATAAAAAAAAGTAATGGTGATGAGCATTACTGATTGGAAAGTGAAAAGGTTCTGATCAATAACATGAGTCTTAATACTTCTTTCATGAATAATACTTATTCATTTATTATGGTTTCTGACCTGAAGTGGAGCTTGGGTAACCTAGTCCGTAGAGAACTGTGCTGTTAACCCAAAGAAAGATGGGTGATCTTCTCCTGTGCAATTTACAGTCTCAGAAACCCAATGGAAGGTCAGCTGTGAGTCAGTTTTCACTCAGCAGCAATGAATGTAAGGCTTTTTGAGACCGAGTAGCTCCCACTGCCATAGGGTTTCCAGTTTTCATATACTTCCTCCTGGTCTATTAAAAAACCTGTAGGAAACCTCTCCAAGGTCCTGCTCCTCGATACCTCCAAAACTCATTGAAATCTTTCAGTCCCAATGCCTGGCTTTATTTTTATCAAGAAGAAACCATTTCTGAAACTGTTTTCACCCTCTTTCCTCCACATGCCTGTGTTTGCTATTTATTTACGCCCTTCCCTTAACCAGTGATGCCCATTGCTCTTGAATCATCAGCCCCTGGCTTTTAGATACAGCCTCATCTTTGTTTTTACTCTGCTTTACCCTTCAGGTAATGGAGCTCTGGTGGCAGAATGGTAAGGGATTATTGTGATGCCAGCTCTAAGACAGGTAGTTCACATCTACCACCTACACCACAGGAAAAAGATGAACACTCTCTTCCATTTGCAGCCTCTGAAAGAAAGCTAGGAGTCAGATATGAGTCAGTTCGGACTCAAGGGCACATAACACCACTTCTACCACTCTCAAGTTACAAAGTAGGATTGCTTTATCAATCCCAAACACTGCATATCATATAACCAAAACTACATTTTTATATGTTTTTGTTCTTTAACTTTTATATCCTTGTCTTTTATTGGCACTAATTACACACACACACACACACACACACAATCTTCCACGTGATATACTTCTCTGAAAACCTGGCGGATCAGCTCTGACTGAGTCAGT